CACGCTGTTGATCTCACAAACCAAATGCTGTTCTGCCGTCATCCTGGCCACCTGCCTTTGTGACTTTAACAAATCTGCATAATCCACCAAACCTCGCCTCCAAAAGCTTGAGCTTAGCGGCACAAGGGGTAGTGGTGCCAACGGCGGTGCCAAGACCGGTTCAGATCTCACCACTCTATCGCTCGCCACCGATGTCAGCCGTGACCGCGATTTGAACTTGAGGCGGCCAGGTACGCGGCACAGCGCGCTAACCACTGCGCCACCGCTCCACCTCCACCCCGCACTGTGGGCCAGGCATGTCACCGCGGAGCGCATTGCCATTCGTAAGACGATGTTCACATCTTGTGTGTGTGTGTGTGTGCGACATCTCTCCTTCACCCCCCCTCCCCCTGACCTAATAGCACGGCACGGCGGAAAGCCAAATGCATCAATCCAGCAGCATCCTTATCGGTTTTCCAAACTGCACTGTGGAGGCATTCGAACAAAGAGCCGCATGACACTCACGGGGCGTAAACACAGCCATCGCAAAAGTCTGATGTTTCGCAATCACAGTGTTTTTGTGTCTTGCTCCTGGGATGAGTTTCTCCATCTCCACAGCCCGTCATTACTTTAAAAAAAAAAACCACCGTCGTCTGTGCTCCTTGCCGCGAAACAGCCCACGAGTGCCCCGGGCCCGTTATAAAGAAAAATGAAAGCTTTTTTCTGAGAAAAAAAAAACACCTCTAACCGTCGTGGGTGGAAATTTGCGCGCGCGTTCAACAATGCCCGAACACGCGGTGCGTGCGTGCGTGTGCGCGCGCGTGCACGCGTGCGTGTGTGCGCGTTTCCATAGAAAACTCGGCAGGTGCATCCCTTCGACAAAATAAAATGGCAATGCTCTCGTGTCGGTCTTATCAAAATGACAACAAAAACAACAACTAATCGTTACCTTATTTATTCGGGAAAGCATCGATGGGCACCACAGGTCTCCTTTTCAGGAGGGTCCATCATTGGGATCTTAGGCCAGTTTCTTGACTTGCATTTCGAATGAACCTCAGATCGTCTTCTTTCGTTTGGATATTAATTTAGTGGCAACTCTACGTCGATGTTCAAGTTGTAAATCCAAATGCTGGTTGCCGAAATGTGAGATAATTAGTAAAATAGTTTTTGCACGAGTGGGATTTGCACAATAAGCCTAATTGTGGATGAAGGCTGCCCCATGGCTATTCAGTTATGGAGTTATTTAACCATACTTCATCACGGTGGTCAGGGCAGCTTGGTAAAGGTGGGTCTGGGGCAGTGCCGGATTAAGCTAGTGCGTGGCCTGTAGCAAATGTTATAAAGGGGCCCTAAATTAAAACATAAATATTAAAACACACATTTTTTAGTAATTGTATTTTTTTATTTGCTATACAGACAGATAATACGACAAATCACTAACCTTAAACACCCAGGCGTTCATAAAAGTTGAAGGCGGTATAGTACTATAGTAAGAGAGCAAGTGCAGAATCACTGAACCGGAATTGATAGCTTGAAAGCATTTAGTGCGGGGCCCTTGAAAGTGCAGGGCCCGTAGCTACATATGTAGTAGCTACTTGTGCTACATATATGTGGCACAAGTAGCTACTACATATGTAGCTACTATTGCTACGGGGATAATCCGGCACTGGTCTAGGGCACGGGCCGGCAACCTGTGGCTCCGTGACCGTTATTTATGAAGGACCCCCACCGTCTCATATGCACATTGCATCGCGACTCTTGAAATGTCGAGTTTCTTATTGAATTCCAAAAACATGGCTCTTCTTTTGATTTAAAGCTTTCGTGACTGCAGGGATTCATATTCTTGGTTCTTTCGGTAAAGTCACATAGAAGGGAAACAATAAAATAATAAAAATATAAAACAATAAAATTATCACGACGTTTCGATTGCAACACAAACAATCATCATCAGGTGTGAAAACCACAGCAAGAAAAATTGATTTTTTTTTCAAATTTTCTTGCTGTGATTTTCACACCTGATGATGATTGCTTGTGTTGCAGTCGAAACTTCGTGAGAATTTTATTGTTTTATATTTTTATTACTTTATTGTTTCCCTTCTACGTGACTTTACCGAAAGAACCAAGAATATGGCTCTTCTTGTTATGTTGGTTGTGGACCCCTGCTCTTTTTTGCCATTGATTTCGGACCTGAAATCAACGGTATACTTTACAACCTGTACCGACCGATACAAGTTGAAGTGAGGTTTATTTTGTGTGACCAGGTGAGAAATAAAGAGACCAGAATGAGAGTCTCTCATTTACAAAAGTGACCTGGGTCACCAACATGACAAAAGCAAAACAAATACAAATTAAAGCATTGTACAGCAACAAAGCAAATGGAAATTGGTGGGATGGCGACTCTTGGAAACCCACTGCATACCGATTTTCAAATCAAGAATTGCGTGAAATATTCGTTCATAAAAATGTATGAAGCGGAAAATGAATAATGCTGTGAAAATAGAAAAAAAAATTGGGCACCTATCACTTAAATCGGTAGGGTTGGCAAGTACTGAATACAAGTCTGCATAGATGCATGCCTAATGTAATATATAGAAAGTATAGGAAACTCAGAAGTGTACTGCATTGTGCGGGAAGTTTTAATATCCCGCACACCAAACATCTCTGCCTGGCACGACTACCCCACCTCGCATCCACACACTTACAAAGCCTCACGTTTTACTTATTATTATATATAGAAAACTATATAAGTGAAACACGACACGCATGTGCATGCATGCACAATGCACAATACATCAAAAACAACGTTCCCCCCCCGTGTAGCCTTAACAGACTGTAGGGGCAAGTGCTGTTAGCGAGCACCTATGCAGGCCGACACGGTACACACGAGGGGGTGGGTGGCCAGCACCACGCACGGCCGCCTTTGTCTCCCCAGTGGCGATGTTTACACACCGCACCCGGTACTCATTTGAGGCCGAGTCGACCTAGGGGGAGGCCCAGGACCGGTTCGGATGATCGTCACGTGGTGTTGGCCTTGAGCGGGAATCGAACTCGGGTCGCAGGTTCGTAGCGCAGCGCGCTAACCGCTGCGTCACCGCTCCCCTCACACACGTAACTTGATACAATGCACTATACATACACATTTGCATACAATGCACTATACAGTACATACACACACAAATTGGCATGCAATGCTCTATACCTACGCATAAAAATAGTTGTACATATCGAAAACACATACATTTGTATACAATTCGCAGCAGCATACAGATAACACACACACACAAACTGGCACATGCAGAGAGAAAAAAAACAAGCCAATGTTCTACAAAAAAAAATACTGCAATTTGGAGGGGGGTTTGTGGTGGAGGAGGAGGGGGGTGTGAGGGGTTGGAGGAGGGAGTGGGTGGGGTGGAGGAGGAGGAAGAGGGGGGAGTGGATGGGGGTTGAGTGGGTGGGTGGGTGTGGTGGAGACTCAATGGTGGTGGTGGAGGGAGTGGTGGTGGTGTTGGTGGTGTTGGTGGAGGGGGTGGGTGGGTGTGGTGGAGACTCAATGGTGGTGGTGGAGGGAGTGGTGGTGGTGGTGTTGGTGGAGGGGGTGGGTGGGTGTGGTGGAGACTCAGTGGTGGTGGTGGAGGGGGTGGTGATGTTGGTGGAGGGGGTGGTGGTGGTGGTGGAGAGGGGGTGGGTAGATAAAAACGAGAATAATCATCCAAGTGAGAGTTCGTGACGAGCGCGGCATTGGCATGCGGGGGCTGTTGGCTGTGGGCGGGTGGAGGGAGACGGCAGAGTGGAGACGAGCGGAGACTGCAGAGCGAGGCGGGTGGCGGGGTGACTCAAAGCCTCCCCCGACTGCTGCTGCTGCTGCTGCTGCGGCCACGGCGTTTAGCCCAGGGCGAGCTCGAAATTGCGAGTAGCACGAATGTTCACCCAGGGGTAAGCGTGGAAATGAGTCTCGAGACTGTTGGCCAGGAGCGTCCTGCTAAGTCGTCACAGGAAGGGTTTGGGGGCGACGATCGCTATGTGTGTTCCCAATTTGCGTAATTTGGGAGTCATTGTTCTAAAATCTGGAAGAAAAAAAAAACAAATTCGGACCATTGACGCTAGCAAACAACGTCCCACCCCTTCTTCGAATGATATCACCGGATTGTTGTTGTTTTACACACCTACAGAACGGAGCATACTTTATGGTTCGTACAACTCCGCAATAATAACCAGGGTGGCCTGCCAGATAACAACCGCGAACCTCCACAATCGCTGGGTCCGTGTCACCTGAGTTGAGCCCTACGGTTCACCCACCCGGCGCGGGCAGTCGTACGGCAAGCTTGCTAGCACCGATGTTTGCCGTGTGGCCACTTAAACGGTGCCCCCCCCCAAACTCTCTGTACCTAAAATAAATAATTATAGGTTTCAGCATTAGCTTAACCTGTCATTTAAATCCGGCGATTTACATTAATGGCACGGATATTAATAAAATCATGTTCTATCACAAGCTTTAAGCTGTGCTTCTAAAGATTCTGCACGCACGTGCACATTGAGTAAACAAGTCACGTGTTTTAAAAAAAAGCAATCCTATTAACAAAAATATTGATCGTCCACCACCTCCTCTTTCAGCAAACATTATTTACTTCTGATTTTAAATGAGCTGGAAAATATCCATTATACTACGGTATTTAGCAAACAACAAAAATGGTTTATAACAGACATCAATCCCATGTGTTTTATTACTTCGAAGCGTTTTAAATGTTCCGTGTTATGATTATTGTTATTATGAATAATTGTTACAGCTATAATAATGATGCTGATGAATTCCAGCATCATCACTGCAGTATTATTACGGCTTCCTATAAATTGCAACAAACATAAACAAATACTCACATGGTGTTAACGTGTGGTGGAGAAAGAAAAAACAAATTAAACACTTAAACATTCACAACAATTCAACAACGCACATGCACCGAATTCGGCAGCACCTCGGCGACTAACAATTGCGAAAATGCCAGCAAGGGGTCACCACACGGCACCTCGTGTCAGCGGGGCCGAGGCAAGGGGCTGGTCGCCTGCATCTTGCCGGTGAACGGAGACTCCCGACAAAATCGACCTGACCGATTCGCAGACACCTCTCCTGTCCGTCTCGCGGCGAATGGGCTATTCATTTAGCATCGGGTTCCCTTCGATGTGGGGGGAGGGGGGGGGGCAGCGTTGTGCGAGATTGATCCGTCGCCTCGTTGGGGTTCCCCCCCCCCCCTTAGCGTCTACTCGAGGGGCCTTGGCTCTCTCGCCCGCACAGCTCCGCGGCGAACAGCGCCATGCCGACGGGGATGGCGGTGGCGGTGGCTCAGCCAGGCAGGGGTTTGAGTACCAGATGGGAGGGAAGGCCTGAGGTTTTTTTTTTTTATGGCCCCATCTCCTCACGACTTCCTTTTCGTCTTTGTCTGTTCAACGAGGAAGCATCGCACCTGAATGAGATGGTTGTTGTCGTTACGTTATGGCTCATCGAATTCCTCCAGTATACATTTTATATTCAAGATTCTGAAACTCTTCGTTAAACGAATTGTTATTTACAGTTATTTTAGGATAATAATAATAATAATAACACGAATGCCCTTGATAATAACCCAGAAAAGCCTCCACTGAGACTCAAGACCACCTTTCAGGAGAATCATGCATTGGGATGTTTGGCTAATTCCATTATTGAGTGTTTGGCTTGTGGGAGTAAATCAAAGTGCCCAGAGATAACTCACACATACGAGGGGATATAACACCCCAAAGCTCCAACACGGATAGATTCAGGAATCCCAAGCAATACTGCAATCTCCTGGCCACATCGCAGCCGGTTCCTACCACCACGTGGTATTCCCAGGCAGCCTTCCATCTCAACTACTAATCAAACTCAACTCTGCTTCTAAGATCCGATGAAATCAGGTGCTTGTGAATTTGGTTGTATATGGTAAATGTTTTATGGCATACCATTGTTCACCACAGAAAAAAATAAAGTGAATGGCTCTGTTGGAAACAAAATATATACATCGGAAATCATGCGAAGAGTCATACTTGTTCCTACAATCATCGTCTCTATCAATAATACTCCCAGCCATTCTAAATCCAAGGCTGAATGATTGCCATATGCCAACTTGCACGACTTTACAGCCAAGTGTAGATACAAATCCATCATGCTTTAATCCTAATAACACATCTAAAACATTTGGTAAAAAAAAAACTCTTCAGCATTTTTAAATATTTGCATTGCATTGTTTTTGTATTCGCTTTTGTTAAGCGGCCTTAGCTTGGCTCGTTGATCTTTTACCAACTTTTTTTTTTAAAGAATGTTACATGCACGCTGTTCTGTCGAATTCAAAATGTAGCTTTATTTCTTATTTTGGAAACATGTGAAAGTTAGTGAGGGCCACGCCGGATTTCTGTGCGGATATTAAAAAAAAGCCGTGTTTTGTACTGCAAATATCACGTGGATCATTTAAATATCACGTTGGTAATTTCAATTTTCTTTCACCCCCGAACCATAAATATGTGTTTTCTTGCCTAATCATAGCCCTCGAAGCGTGACATTTATAAAGAGCAGTAATTGGCAAACAACAATTTGTCAGGAAAATAATTAAGAAACACCAAATTACAAATAATTAGGCCATAAAAGTGGGGCACACATTTCACATTAATGTCCTTTTCCATCTTCGGGAAAATTAATTTCAGCCAATTAGTTTCTGGAAGAAAAAAAATCACGAATGCTCCCTAAAAGTCAATAGACAGAAATAAACGTTCGTCACCATGGTCATCAGCGTCATTATTATCATCGTCAACACGACCATTATAAACCCACTATACTTAGGGTGCGAAGAGGTCACGTGGCACGGGAAGTGTTTCTCATAAACAGAGCTGGCGCTACCGTCGTCAACACGCGCAGCCACAGGCAAGCCGCTCGGGTTTTGGGAAGCCAGCAGGCTGCGAAGAGACAATTTTTCACGTTCTCACGAGAACGGTCGCTGAAGCGGACATAAACACAGGTGCATATGTATGCCATTCGGGATACTGGCCCTGGTGTTTCGGGTTAGCGCACTGGGCTTGTGGATCCTGAGGTGGCCGGTTAGATCTCTTAGATATCCAGCTCAAACGACGGTTCTCCGCCACGGTTCGTCCATCAGCAGGTCGCGTTGGGGGTGGTGGGGTAAAGTGTGGCCGCTCTGACCTCTTCACAAGAAGTCTGGCCGGCTTGGAAGAGGAGGCCAAATATCCCCTGGAGGGGCCACCTAGAGCTCCGTCTAGGGGAGGCCCTTCCGTGTGCAGTGACGTCGGCGAGCAATTGCAGGGCTGCGCCTAAACCGACTTAAGCCATTTATTTATTTATAAAAGGCACACCCAGTATGAATACTCTTTGTTTGTGGAACCTGTCTCGCGAGGCTTTCCAAATTGCTTTTTAATGAATGTCTCATGGGCGGGAAGGAACCGTACCCCCCAGCGAGTTCATCTCCTTGTATTTGACAAGAATAACATCGAAAAGGTCAGATAAATGGGTCAGAACCCCATTTTGTGCACTGACATCTCCCAATTACTTTTCAGCCCGGTGGGTTTGTGAGGTTTCACAAATCCATATTATTCACCAATCCTTGCCTCCAAAAGTGTCGGGTTACACTTTTGAAGTTGGGATTGTCCTACTCAGCGCATGGTCCACGGCGGCTATTGGCTGGATAACAGGTGCACAGTGACCCTTTATCCGCAAATGCTATCATTCTTTACTATTGCCACGCTATTTTTACACGCGGTGAAAAGAAACTCTACTGAAAACGTGTTTCATTAAATTGAACTACCTTACCATAATTATTTTAAATCTATGCAACCACAGGCTTACTGACTCAGTACACAATGTGCCACTGTGTATTTAAAGCCACCGTCGCCAGCATCAGCGCTAGTTATGTTACATTTTCAAAGGGAGATAAAAAAAAAATACGCATAAAAAATAGCACGATTTTCCTGCAAAACATTGTCGGTGTCTCATAGCCACGTCTGAAAACGTTTGGGAGGTGTCCAAACGCCCTTGAGACCCACATTGTCTGCGTCCTTGGTGATGCGCTGTGCCCACGCACTCTGCACAAGAGCGAATCGGTGTGTGCAGGCGTCGCTACTAAATGAACCAACCAACCCACGATGAGTTACAGAGCCTGTTAAACGACGCAACGTAAGCAGCTCAATGGAGCCACATTCGTGAAACCTACTGGTAAAATAAACAAATAAAAACACGTCGACAGGCGCACGGAGAGAGATGAGCACTCGCACAATATTTGAATTGTAATATTCACTGACGGGGGAGCAGTGACGGCAGTAGCACGCTTGCAAGTTAATAGACAAAAAAAAATTGGTGGCGAGATGTTATCTCCCTCGCCTGTATGCGAGAGACCGTGTGTTCGATCCCGACACTACCATGCCTTCTCTTTGGTTTTTTCGGTAAAGTCACGTAGGTATAAAATGAAATAAATTAAATCGCGACGTTTCGGGCGCAACACAAGCGTCCGTCATCAGGTGGGACAACCACAGCAAGAAACAACTGCTGAAGTGGGCAAAAGAACTGCTGTAGCAAGAGGCTCCTCCCCCCTCTCTTACCGACTAGAGGCTCCTCCCCCCTCTCTTACCGACAAGAGGCTCCTCCCCCCTGTCTTACCGACAAGAGGCTCCTCCCCCCTCTCTTACCGACAAGAGGCTCCTCCCCCCTCTCTTACCTACAAGAGGCTCCTCCCCCCTCTCTTACCGACAAGAGGCTCCTCCCCCCTGTCTTACCGACAAGAGGCTCCTCCCCTCTGTCTTACCGACAAGAGGCTCCTCCCCCCTCTCTTACCGACTGGAGGCTCCTCCCCCCTCTTTTACCGACAAGAGGCTCCTCCCCCCTGTCTTACCGACAAGAGGCTCCTCCCCCCTCTCTTACCGACAAGAGGCTCCTCCCCCCTGTCTTACCCACAAGAGGCTCCTCCCCCCTCTCTTACCGACAAGAGGCTCCTCCCCCCTGTCTTACCCACAAGAGGCTCCTCCCCCCTCTCTTACCGACAAGAGGCTCCTCCCCCCTCTCTTACCTATATAGCCTCTTGTTATAGCAGCTCTTTTGCCCACTTCAGCAATTGTTCTTGCAGTGGTTGTCCCACCTGATGATGGACGCTTGTGTTGCGCCCGAAACGTCGTGATTTAATTTATTTCATTTTCTACCTACGTGCTTTACCGAAAGAACCAAAGAGTATGGATCTCTGCAGTCACGAAAACTTAAAATCTAGACTACCATGCCCGTTGTATTTTTGGAGTCTGTGTGTTCTCTTCCCGTGGAGTCACGTGTTTTTTTCTCCAGGTTCTCCGGTTTTGCCCTGTTCCACATTAAGAAAAATGCTTTGAGATTATTTGGCTGCTACTATACATTCCCCACGTGTGATGATCATATAAGTCACTTCGATGAGCTATCACGTGTGGTCAGCTCGCCTCTGAAAAAGAGGTCATAGTTCAGCGGCGCTTTACCTGTTAAATAAATTAGTTTAGTTCTCGTTTTTATATTGAGCTATGAAGCCAGTGACCTAAGGTTTGATTCCCAGCCATGGCTAAAATCAGTGACTCGTGCTATCCAAACCGATACTGACCGTGGTGTTTCGGTGAAGTATGGTCAAACAACCACCATGATGACACATTTTGGTGCGGTGACATTTATCAAGCAGTGGATTGACAACAATATATATTTTACTAGCAGTATGTACTGATGTGTAAGAGACATGGGCGAATTAGTTCCGTAAAAATGCATACTTATATATAAAAAAACAATGTTAATGCGATAAGTGGAGTCATTTATTATTTAATTGCCATTTTATATATTGAGGCCACCAACCGCCACATGCGAAAAGTCTCCCTGAAAAGGGGAACACTTCACGGCCACGTTAGATCGCGTTCAATTTCCTCGAGCGCTTCCTTAAGAGGGGGCAGTGATTGATTCCGCTTCAGTCTGAAGCTTTATTATAAAAATAGGGCAAAGCATTCATCGTCCCGTGTCCATCAACCCGAAAACAACCAACCGCCGCGTCTCTTTTTGTTTACGTGAAGATAAACAAATCTGGATAAATGTGTTTTATTGATGCAGGTCATCCAATTTGTCAATCACGGACAACGTTCAACGACAAAGCCCACGGAGAACATGAAATGCCACGTATTTTAGCGGGGTTTTTTCATTTCACAAATGCTTC